ATGGTGTACTTGTTAGTTTTGTTTTTAGAATTTTCTGGAGTATTTATCTTGTCTACCACTTTCTGCAGTAACTGGTGACTCTCGTGGTTATGCTTTTGTAGAATATGAGACCGAGAGAGAAATGAACCGTGCCTATGAGGTACTAAGAAGGTTTTGCTGTGGTTCTCCATGAGAATGCCGATTTTGTCATAATGGTGATATTAGTTACATTGCTATGTTATGCAGGATGCTCACCATTCCATGATTGACGACTCTGAAATTATAATCGATTATAATAGACAACAATTAATGCCTGGGTGGATACCTAGAAGGTTAGGTCAGTCAATTTTCCCTACCCTGTTTAATTTTTGTCAAAAAGAACAGCTAGATGACATTTCTCTTTTTGTTGATAGGAGGGGGTCTTGGTGGAAAGAAAGAGTCAGGGCAACTTCGTTTTGGAGGACGTGAAAGACCATTTCGAGCTCCTTTGTATGCATTGAACTTTTCTCATATATATTATTGAATTAAATTATTGGATAGTTATTATTTTTAGCCAAACCTTCTAGCATGCCTTTGCACCTCTTGGCCTTGGAAAGGCTTCCTTTGTACCAAGAGACTATATATATTAATTGAATTAAACTATTGACTGCCATTTGACTACCAAACTAAAGAGAGAACATGTTAAGCATGTGTGATTCATTTCTTAATTAATTCTTACACAACTTTCATATTAGTTATAATATGCAAATATATGGTACAACATTTTTATTTGATCTACCTCCACTCTCCCCTTGATTTCTCTAGTAGCGAGGTTTCTGATCCCTAGTAACAAGCAAGCCATAGAAGAAATATCCCGACTTTGCTGAAGCAGTTCCTCTTGGATTATCCTATAGTTCATTCTGGAAACAAATATTCTTTTCTAGTTTCATTATTGGGTGAAGTTTGGTGGTTGCTTCCATAACCTCCCAGTTAATGTTGCACATGTGGGCTACCACTCACATGTTCACGCTGTTAGGATTGGATTATCTTCAGCCTAATCAAATTTACCCAATGGCTGTCACTGTAGTTTACCAAGATAAAGCTATCCAAGATACTTGTTTTCCTATTTTTTTTTATGCAAACAGGTTGCTTGTTGTTTCTGAATTGGACTGTTACCAGAAAGTGTTTGGATCCTAACCAACTTAATCTGTTGTATCTCCCTGATTGTATCAATAGATTCAGTTAGTGTTGTTTTATTGCTAACCTTTAATATGTAGAAGAAATGAAGTGGCTTTTAGCATTAGTTGTTGCTCTAATAGGGAGTGTTGGTTCATGATTCCTTTTGTCTCGCTGAAGTGGGACTTGATAACCACCGTTTTAATATTGTTTTCCTAAGCATTTTCGAAGAGCCACTTGCTTTAGCAGGCATTTGCTGTAAGCATAACTAAGCAAATATCTAATTTTGAGCATAAATTTAAAATTACCCCATTCTGCCAGTCAAGTAGGTGTATTCTGTGGCTTCATGATTATTGTTATGTTGTCATGGTTTGACTGAATCCTCTCCTTGTACAATAACAGACGACCAATCCCTTTTGAAGATTTGAAGAGGCTTGGCATTCCCCCTCCACCAGAAGGAAGATATATGTCACGTTTTCAGGTATTGTCTCTTTCACATGGTCTATTTATGTTAACAATATGGAGCCAGTTAAATGTTGAAGTACATTGTTTAATGAATCAAAAGTTATATCATCCTTCTTCCAACATATAGCAGCATTTTCACTATAACAATCTTGGATGTTATTATGTCCACGAAGCTGTATTGTTAGTTAACTACTGAACTTTGATATGGCTTGATATTGTTAAAGGTGCAAAAAAAAATGCATGTGGAAAGAATTTCCGGACTTGGCTTGATAAGCCTTTTGCTTTATGTAGGTCCCATCACCACCTAGAAGACAAAGGAGGTCTATAGATAGGGAAGATCACACGAGGGAAGAATTCCATCATAATATTAGCCTTCCGGAGAGAGACGATGGTCACCGCAACAAAAGCTATAAAGAAAGGGAATCATACTCTGGCAAGGGGAGCATTTCAGGAATGGAGGAACATCATCACAAAACAAGAATTAAGGAGCAGTTAGAGTCATCTCGAGGAAGAAGCCCAATTGATAGGGAAGAGCACTCTCATAAAAAGAGTCATTTAGAGACGGAAGAGCATTCTCGCCAAAAGAGCAGCAGGGACAAAGAAGAAGACTATCAAAGAAGGAGCTCCCGGGAAAAGGAGGAACACTCGCACAAGCGTCGCAAGCATAGCCATCGCAGACAGATGTGAGAGGTCCTCTGGCATGATCATGCTTCTGTCGCTGATTGACCTGATCTCTACTACCATGATATTAGACTGAGGACCTGGTTCTGTTATCAGGATGGGAATCATACTACTCTCTTTCTCAGTTTCGCATCATTTTGAACTTCAGTCTATCACCTTTTAGTAAAAATGGTTTAACCTTTTTTCTTACTTAGGAAGACGCCTGTTATAAAGGCTGATCATATTGTTATAGGACATTTCTGGTGTCTATTACAAGGTTATCATCCAAACTAGTCCATGCGAGACCACAAGGTCAGCCATATGAATTCTTTTTTGTAGCTTTTTAGTAATCTTTTTAAAATTTAAAATTTATCTTTGATAATTTTATTAATTTCAATTAAAAAATTAATAAAATCAATAAATTAATTTAAGAATAAATTACCTAGCACTTTTTTAATCTGCATGCAATCCAAGTTGGGTTGCAACAAGTTTAGATCTTCAATGTAAGTCTCCTGGCTCTAAGGTGTTTTTTTCTCTACCATGGCAACATAAATTCCATTTGATCTCACTTGCACACAAACAACAAATTAAATTATCAAGCTTTGGTCCAAATGATGACAAGCCTTTGGAAGTTAATGACAATTTTGTGGAAAAAATTTATTTTTATTCACCTTCTCCGCTGAGGGAGACTTGCATCGGATACAAAAAGGAGCTCTATGGAAGTTTGAACAATCACCACTGTGTTTGCAATAAATCTCAGGATCTAAGCACCCAAATCATGTGAGTAGTTTTCATGTACAAGTATATGAGGGGCATCTGAAACAGGCTGCAAAACTAAATCAAGTTAAAGAGGTGGGGTTGGAAACAACCTTGGACTGAGTGAGGAGGAAACCAAGTGTGTAATGAATCACAGAGCCCAATTTGGATTGTTTGTGGAGCTTTTACAGGCCTAGGCACAAAATATATCTTACAAATAATAATTTGCAATTTAAGAAGATTTTTTTTTTAAAGAGTTAAAAATAATAGCAAAAAATTAAAGAGACCTAATTAAAGAGTTTAAAATAATAATTTGGGAATTTTTTATTTTATATGGAGTTAAGGATATAAATGTGTGTGTGTGTGTGTTTTTTTTTTAATTTTTGTAAGTTATGGTTTATGAATTAGATTTTAATATGAGTCTTTTGAGTTTT